TACTTTAAGATAGCAATAATGAACTCCTGAGAAGACTGGTGTGGCTTTTACCTTTTTGCATATTTCTTTACTATCTCGCTTAAGAGAAGAGGCTTTGAGAGCCACTGCTGTAGTCAGAGCCAGTGGCAGGCAGGCCAAATGCAGTGATAATCGGGCACCCAGAGTAAGGCTATTTAGATTCGTTTCTTCCAAGTGAAGAACATTCAGAACAGATTGGGAACAGGTGCATGGTAATCCTTCAGGCAGAAGCTGTATTTGTTACCTTTGTCAATGTTGCTTTGTTCAGACACCTTTCCCCATCATCTGTGCATCTGTGTATCGCCTCTCTCTCTCTCTATCTTCATTGTAACTGCGTACTTTGGTAAAAGCCCTACTGTCAGTCCTAAACACTCTTCTGAATTACAGATCATTTCAACAAATATGTGATAGAAAGAAAAATTGTAAGCTCCTGTGGTATGCAAGGTGCTGTGCTGGGCACTGAGGAGATAAAGTAGGAAACACGATGGACTTTGATCTGGTGGACTTTACGTCTAAACAGCTAATTACACAAAATACTTTTAAATTATCATGGTGATTAAATGTTTTTATAGTACAGGATGGTATACAGCATGTAAGGGGGTCCTAGTCTTTGGGGTCAGGGAGACTTTTTTTCTGAGGAAGCGATGTTCACACCGTGTGCTGGCAGAAAAGTAGCAATGGGAGAGCTTCATTTAATTGTACTTAGATAGGGATCTTGGCCATGACTAGCTGTGACTCAGAAAGAAATCTAGAAAAATGGAAGCTTTAACCCTTAACAGTTGGAATGTTCTCAGTTGAGGAGAGGATAGCCAACAATTTGGAAATAAGTACTGATTATCTGCTTAGGGCTTTATCTTCTTTCTGAGAAATCCTGGAATTCAGTGGAAGTTCCATAACAATGAGAAGTTTATACTATATATACTATAGTCCATTGTTTCTCAAAGTTGAATGTACACACAAGTGGCCTATGGATCTGGTTAAAAGGTAGGCTTAAATAGGTCTGGGCCCTGCAATTCTGCTTTTCTAAAAAGCTCGTACATGGTGCTCATGCTGCTAACCTTCCTAATGTCGCGGCCCTTTAATACAGTTCCTGTGGATTGCGACCCACAGGTTGAGAACCACTGCCTTAGCCCAATACTTTGATTAGTAAGATTGTAATCACAGGTGGCCAGCGTGAGAATTCAGCAGGAGTACAGGCCAGATAAAGGGCTGGACAAATACTCCAGAGATGATGTCCAGTAGTGAGAGGTAATGAATAACAGAGAAGACAAAGCAGTTTGGTGTAGGAAGTATCATGCCACATACTGAATGCTAAAGGACATTCATTCACAGTTCCCATTACCAAGAGGACAAAAAGCTAGGATTGAGATAGATGGCTACTAGCACAGCCAGTGACATACTCCGCACACTCATTTCTGTGGCGAGGACCAAGTGAACTAAATGGCCATTAGTCTGCCTGGGAAAAGGTCGGTTAGTTACTAAGGATTGATGGCCTCCCTGTGGTAATTATCTGGGCTTCAGGAAATAATCTAGATGAAAGGCAGCTAGAGGTACTGGAGAGAAGGTGCACTTTACTTAGAAAAAGAAGAATGTTCAATACTCCTCATTAATCACAGATGATTAATCCATAGATGGAGAGTATCACTAAGTAGATTCAGGTAAAAAATGGTTATAAATGGCAAGGGTAGAAATAGAATAGGGGGAAAAAATTTATAGATAATATCCAGTTTAAGAATCACCACTGTTAAAACCTAGTAATTGCATATGCCTTTTCTATATTTCACTGGCACTCAAAATAGAAGCTTACAAGACCCTCAAAAGATATTGTTGTCTGCTCTTCAGTGTATTATTTTGGAAAATATCTTTTTGTTGCAATTATGCTTTAAAATTTTGTTGAAGATACAGTATTTTATCTTTATTAACATTTATTTGGATCAAAGTATTATAACATCAAGTGAGCCTTGAGTTATATAATGAACTGTGTATATAAAAATGTTTTATATTTAATCACATTTTTTTATAGTTTAAAAGTAATACTTTAGAATGGTGTTGTAGCTTATATCCCTGTCTAATTTTCTTCCCCTTTGAAATGTCATCTCTTTGGATTTGGCAAAATCTTATGATCTTCAGAATATGGAAAGAAAAGAATTAGGGTTTCTATACTTTATGAGCAGGATTTTAGATTACTTGTCTTAAGACGTTTGTATATGAACCTTGAGAAGGACATGTAAATAATGGTTTAACTGAATCAGGCAGCTATTATCTTGAACTTTCTAAAACTCTGTGGGACTGAAATGACTCAATAGAATTCAAGATTAGTCCTAGAGAAAAATCATCTTTGTTAATTAGATTGTCTCCTGATGAGGCAAACCATCCTGAAAAGGGAGCCTGAGAAAGGCGAGGATATGGCTTATATTTATGAAAAGATCAAGTTTCCTCAGTTATCTGTACTTCTAAACTGTGATTCAGTAGGAACGTGGTGTCAAGAAACATCAAAGGTATGAAAGCAGTTGCTTGAAAAGAAATGAAATGTATAAAAAAGAACCTCCCCTTAGAGTTAGAGAACAGAATAGTAACTAGCAAAGATGATCGTTTTTTGTACTGCCTCAGGTTTAAATGATTGAGTTATTTAAAACTACATTTTCAACAAGCTGTGGTTCTTTGGATAATACTGTCTAACTAGTGAAATGTTGTCTGCCATGCATGCTGGGATCCTCTTATTCCTGGGGGCATTCCTGGGGGCATTTTGGGCAGAGAGCTGTTGGTACAACTGTCCTTCACCTGAGGAATAGTAATGACTAGATCTGGTGAAGTACCCATCATCATGTCTCTTTCAGCTACATCCCCTAGACAGCCCCATGGGAAACAGGATTAATCAGGGTAGTAAACAGGTTTCCATACCCCTTGTTTGTTTTTTAAGAGTGGAGGTCTCATTATATTGCCCAGGCTGGACTTGAACCTAGGCCTCCCAAATAGCTGGGTTTACAGATGTACGTCACCATACCCAACTGTCCAGTTTTTTAAATGCCCTAAAATCATGGCCAAGAGGCTGTTGTTCCTTTTTTAAAATGTAGGAACAGTTCTGGACACAAGGAAAAAAACCTTTTAGTCTTAAAGTCAAGCACTTTGGAAAATTTAGGTTCAGACTGGATTTGTGCTCCTGAATACCTGCATGACTTAGTTATTCTTTTTAATAAAATGTGCATTGCTCTCCACTGGTTTAGTTATGGATTTAATGAGTGAGAGACTGAGGGCCTTGTCCTTACCTAGCCTAACCAGGTAATAAATAAAGGAAACTAAAAGGTGGGACTTAGGATTCAATACATTCTTTTTTTTTTTTTTTTTTTTTTTGAGACAGAGCCTCAAGCTGTCCCCCTGGGTAGAGTGCCATGGCATTACAGCTCACAGCAACCTCCAACTCCTGGGCTCAAGCGAGTCTCCTGCCTCCGCCTCCCAAGTAGCTGGGACCACAGGCGCCCGCCACAACGCCCGGCTATTTTTTGGTTGCAGCCGTCATTGTTGTTTGGCGGGTCCGGGCTGGGGATTCGAACCCGCCACCTTAGGTGTACGTGGCTGGCGCCTTAGCCGGTTGAGCTATAGGCGCCAAGCCAGATTCAATACATTCTTTTGTGGCTTGATTCGTTCCTTGATTTTATAGCAAGCTTCTAAATAGACTTTGTTATCTTATTATCAAACTCAAATAAGTTGTAAGAATTAACTTTAGAAACTGACCTAATGACAAATTATATGTAGTTATGAATACTGTATCATTGAGAATCAAATGTATCTGTTCTTGACATCTCTTACCTCTATATTTTCAAAAGTCACAGAAAGAATCCTCAGTGCTGGATCCTGCTTTTGTTTATTTTCCTCTAAGTATATGTGTCTTTTTGTATTTTATTGAAATATATTTAAAATTGCTTATTCTAAATCTTGATTTTGTTGTTGGTGTTTATTGAAATGTCTAATTTGATCACATCAGTATTAGAATGTTTGTATTGTAAGACAACATTTTAAGGCTTTAGTCCAAGTCAATGTTAATTTTTGATATTTCCAATCTGTATCCCTTAGAAAACTTTTTTTAATACCGAAATTTGACCTGTTGCAAAATTGGCAGGATTAGGGACATAGAAATAGAGGCTTATTAATAAGTAGAATCTAAAGGCTTCTATTATCCATTATTCAGCTAGTGACCTGGAAAATAGACTTTTAGATTATATGAAAAATAATTTTTTATTCATGTCCCTATCTTGTTTTGAACTATTGCAGTGGTTATATATGTGTCCTTAATGTAAGTCAAGAGGGAACTGGGAACACATGTTTTTATCTCAGCTAGAGCAAGGCTTGGATGCATAAAGGTTTTTTCTTTAATGTACATTTTTGTGCCCGCACAGCCTCTGGTAATGATTAGCATTTACTCCCTAAGTTAGTTTTGTCTATTTAGGGAAGTCATTTGGCTTTTGTTTGGTTAATGCAGATGAATACTATATAGAGAGACAAGACAAGAAAGGGGGGAAAAGGACAGAATTCTTCAAGCATGTAGGGCTGTGCAGCAAGAATTTCAATGACTCTTCAAACAGATGTAGAGGGGTGGAGAAACAGCAAATTTGAAGCCTTTCAACTGTGACATTTTCTTCTAATGAAGAACAGCTTGAAAGCTGTAATTTTGAGAGTGTTGCAGTATTTTGAAATCAGACACTTAGCACATTTTTAAAATAGTGGTGAGATTAAAATGTTTTTTTCTGATCTTAAGTGGTATTAAGCACTTTTGGCCATCATCTTATCTTGATAGTTGTGGGTCTTAGAATGAACACCAGAGCTTTTAAAATTCAGATGGGCCCCAGTAGCATCTTTTTTTGTGCTTTATTTCCATTGTTTTCATAGTATATGAAGTTTTTTCTTTTCCTTTTAAAACAATGCATTTTCTATTTCCACTCTTCACAAATGACCTTGAATTAATTCTTTATTTTTGTGTTTTACAGCACGTTTTTGTACTTGAAATTCCTGGTAGTGTGGGCACTTGTCCTCCTAGCAGACTTTGTCCTGGAGTTCAGATTTGAATACCTGTGGCCATTCTGGCTTTTCATCAGAAGCGTCTATGATTCCTTCAGATACCAGGGACTGGTATGTTTTCTTTCCGTGTGTGAGGGACTTAATTACCCTTCCAGGAAAATCTTCAATAGCTGGGATAATGAACTATTTAAAGTAGATATTATTAGCAAAATGTAGGTGACTGTATTGGGATGAACTAATAGTATCTAGGGATTGAAACTGAACTCTTAAAAGACTATTTTGTCTAAACCAACTAACCAAATCATTGTATTTTCTCCACCTCTCTTTTTCCACAGAGGAGAAAAGAGGTGAGACTAAGTAGAAAACAGAGTAGCGGAGAAGTAATAATTGTTCAGTCCTGCTCTGAAGGGTTTCTGGAGCCCTTGTCACTATGTTAGTGATTGGATTAATCAGAGCAGTAGTTCTCAAACTTTTCGATCTCAGGGGCCCTCTACATTTTTAAAAACTATCAAGGACGGCTCAGCGCCTATAGCTCAACCGGCTAAGGCACCAGCCACGTACACCTAAGGTGGCGGGTTCGAATCCCTAGCCCGGACCCGCCAAGCAACAATGACGGCTGCAACCAAAAAATAGCCAGGCGTTGTGGCGGGCGCCTGTGGTCCCAGCTACTTGGGAGGCAGAGGCAAGAGACTCGCTTGAGCCCAGGAGT